TCTCTCTCTCTCTCTCTCTCTCTCTCTCTCTTTCTCTCTCAAATATTCACAAAATTCTAGAATCTACGAAGTATGTGGTTTTAGAAAGTACATTGTATATCAAAAGTTTCTATTGTTTTAAGCATACAAGATAGATCAAATTATGCTACTGTACATATGCATAAGATTCATACAAACATTGTTTATTAGATATTTTGTGTTATATAATTTTGAACATGTACATTTCGTATCATGATATATCAATAAATTATTGACAATAATAATCCATAATTATTATATCGCGTATCAAATTTACTTATGATAATTGTTATGTAAAGCTTGTCTATGACAACAAACATGGTAATTAATGGTATGTTTTAAGGAATTTTCCCTATTATTATGTAATTATCAATTCAAATTGATATTTTGTCAAGTTCACTAAACTATCATACAATAGGTTTTAATTATTAAATAATTTTTAAACATTAATTAAAAAACATTAAGCAGTATTTAACCAAAAACATAATCATTTATAATTTATTAATAAATTAAAATAATAATTCAATTAAATGTTCTCTGTATGTATGATAATAATTATTTTAATTAAACTAATCACTTACTCGTCCGCATCCCTATCCTCTTCATCCAGTGATGACAGTTGTTGTGACTCACGTCCCGATGTTATAGCATTATGGCATATATTATAAACATGTTCATTGTGTGGGGGCTTCATGGTCACTAAATCGGTGCTCGGTATATAACACGACTGGCCAGTCATCGGTATTGCAGACAGTGATTGGTCAGTAAATATGAAATCATTGCCGATTTCTGCATTAAATAAATCCTATAATGTAAAAAACTAATTGTAGTCAAAGCATAAATAATACTTTATATAATTATTTACTAACGTGTAATGAAATCATTTTCATTTATATAGATGATTAACTTTAAAAAACGTTTTTAAAGTTTTAATGATTTTTAATTGAAAGACACAAACTTTATATTAAAATAAATACTGTATAAATGTTATATAATTTTCACAATAAAATACAGAAATATAATTTAAGTAACTTTTATAACACGATTGAAAATCTATGACATAGTAGACGGACAAAACTTTTCAAATTGTGGATGATTTTTATTGCAAGCATTTAGTTCACTGAATGGTAAAACAACCATCATTATAGGTATACACTTTCATTTTACCTTATTTGATTGAGTTATGCGCCGATACAGTAGCTTCTGGCTTATATAATAATACTGTACACGAGATAACACTCTCTCTCTCTCTCTCTCTCTCTC